CTGGCATGATTTGGGCCCTTTAATTCGTGTGGAACAACGTCTGAATAGCACAACATACCAAAGTATCGTTGCTGATCAAGTTCATCCCATCATGTTGATGGCGTATCCCAATGGAGATGGCTTCTTCCAACAAGACAATGCGCCATGCCACGGTGCTCGTATTGTGCAGGAGTGGTTTCAAGAACATGAGGGAGACTTTACCTTGCTTAGGTGGCCCCCACAATCACCAGATCTCAATCCAATTGAGCATTTGTGGGACGAAGTTGAAAGAGCCATCAGGCAGCTGGTTCCACAACCATCAAATCTCACAGAACTGGACAGTGCTATTCATCAGGCATGGTGTCAGATTCCTCGCATCACCTTTCAACATCTCGTGGAGTCAATGCCAAGAAGAATCGCTGCAGTATTGAAGGCAATACTGCTACCCATTCTCAATCATCCTTATTCGCCTGCCCTGACCTTTTGCCTATTTAGCTACACTTCGATTCTGCCTGCTGTCAGCTGTTACCACACTGAGGGCCACAATCTGGGAGCTGTCTGCGGCAAAACCCATCATTCCTTGCATATGGGCTGGGTGCTCTGGTGAACACCGTGCGATTTCCTTAGACCTTGCACCTTCATCCTCTTTAGGGTCCACATTCGTCTGACAATGCAGAAGGTCCACTATTTCTATGACAGAGGGCAACAGATCTTTGATCAGTCCCCCAACACCTAAGGGATAATTGGTAATTTTTATTATTCCTATAGATAATCAAACAGCTGTCAGCAGTTGTGTGGTTAGACTGAATGTGAATCTCAATAATATTTTTTTTTTTATTTTAAAGAGCTCATGTTTTGGTACACCTGGAATGTAGTAGGTTAATTTAAATTGAATGTTTGTGCAACTGGCCCAGCTGACTTTGGAAAAAAGGGATTCAGATGAGTCATTTGAAGATGGACAGGTTTCCTAATGTTCTGGGTGAAACCTCTCCTTGTCTGTGCTTAGTATAGGTTGTAATAGACTATTCTTGATGACCTTTATGGGAGGGTCGCATTAATGCTTTTTTTTGCCTCTGTTTTCATTGAGGATCATGGCATGCAAATTCTGGAGTTCCTGAGTATGATCACCAAATCCTCTTACAAATAAACTTGTTAGTGAATGATTTAAAGTTGGAACATGTGAATGCCCCATTGGCAGGAAGTAACACAATGCCAAACTACCTCCATGATGTTATTCTGCATAGGAGGAAGTGGTGACATCACTTCCACCTCTGTGAAGTAGGGTAGGTTTGGTTCTTGTTTCTGCATGTCCTAGTAAGGCAGCTGTCTGTGTGTCTTATGTATTACGAAACCTCTGAGAGTCCTGAACATGACACGCACTAAGGATATACACATCCTTCAGTGTTGTATATCAAAACATATACAAAATTTAAATGTACTTCCATTCGGTAAGCAACCTTACATATGGACAAATTTGTTGGAACAGCTCATTGAAAAACATTCCTCCTGAAAAGGGAAGAAATGCAAAGCAATTGTCTCGTGTGTGTCTGCATGCCTTTGGTATGTCATAGAGTAAAGCAAAGAAAGTGTGAAAGAAGATAAAGTATTGCTTGTGCAACAAAGATGTTTAAAAATTATCTGGACAGATTTATTGGGGCCCCTAGAAAAGATTATAAATAATTGGATCATAGTGAAATATTAAACTCTGTTCTGTAATTAGTATTAAACATGTCTTCAGTTGTGTAATTAGTCAGCCAGCCTACTTAAATGAAGAAACGTAGTCCCTCTGCTGTTTGGCATCATTGCATGAACCACACTGAACATAAACCAGAGAAAGCAAAGAGAAAATTATCTGAGGAGATAGAAAATTATAAGCCAACATGTCAGAGGTAAAGGTAAGCTCCAAGCAGCTTGGTGTACCTATTAATACAGTTGCAAATGTTAATAAGAAGTTTAAGGTCCATTGGAATGCTGGAAACCTCCCTGGATGCTACTATAAGAGGAAAATCAACCCCAGACTGAACAGGAAGATAGTTTTGCATTGTAGACAAAGAACCAAGGAAAACTTCCAAAGAGCCAAGCTTCAACTCTAAGGTCAAGGCACATCAGTGTCTGATCGCACCATCTTTTGTATGGATATTTCTCCTGCACTCCTTAGCGTCTGGAACTAGGGATGCACAGATACTTTTCGAGTACCAGTACAGATACTTGGCATTTTCATGAGAACTACCAGGGTTGCAGCGGTTGCAGCTGGGACCTGGCTCTGTTAGCTCCACCACTGTCCTGAAATCATTAGTCTGTATTGTTTTAGAAAAACTGTCACATGACAATATACAAAAATGTATCAGTACTCGTACTTGTAAGTACTCGGCAAGTACCAGTACTCGCAAAACTGGTATCTGTGCATCAATTTATATTTATAAAAACAAAATCGTACATTAAAACAGATGTACAAATCCCAGGAGCTCCGTATGCTTCTTACAAATGACAGCTGCCTCCTAATTTTTGAATTTTTCTCTAGTCTAGTCTTGGAGCTCAAAAGTATCTGTACATGTACATGTACTCGTACTTGTACCGAGTACTGTACTTGGTATCTGTGCAACCCTATCTGGAACCAATAAGCAAAGTGGTGCTCGTAGTGATGAACACGGATGGCGCTGTGTGTCTTCAAGTACAGTGAAAGGGATAATCACTAGCACTCAAATATCATTTTCAGATCTTGTCGATCATTTATAGTGGCCACTATGTCGCCCTGATGAAGGGACCCTGCGTGGCCCCCGAAACGTTGGCTATTCTGACACTTGTGACATTAATAAATTATCAAGATCTGAAAACGATAATTAAATGCTGGTGATTTCCTATTTCTCTGATCGCACCATCTGTTGCTTTTTGAGTGACAGTGGGTTCAAAGGAAGAAGACCCAGAGGGACTCCATTTTTGAAGAAAAAAAAAAACCCAGACTGGAACATTGTCCGAAAATGCATATTGCTTCCGGGAAGAATGTCCTTTGGATTGATGAGACAAAACTGGAGCTTTTTGACAAGTCACATCAGCTCTATGTTCACAAACAAAAATTAAGCTTTCAAAGAAAAGAACATGTTCCTGTTGTGAAACATGGGGGAGGCCTGGATGTGTCTGGTACAGGGTGTCCTGAATCTGTGAAGTCGAATAGAGTCCCACTGCACTCCTGACTGAGAATCCCCATATATTGTGGGGGTTGCTTAAGTGGCTGCAGATGGCGCCGCCAAATACTTGCAAAACAGGTTAAATGGTCACCAGCACTCCAAGTTTTCTTCAAAACAAAATCCTTTAATTCATTGTAGGAGGTCATATCACCATGCGTGGCAACGTTTCAGAACCTGTCCGGTCCCTTCATCAGGCAAACAAAAGTTTTAACTATTCTCTAATACCCCGGTCTCCAACCAGTGACTTGAAGGTTCCATGCAGCTAGACATGAGTGCCTAGTTACTTGCCCAAGCCAATGATGGATAAACATTAATTATACTGTGTTTACAAGTGAAATACTGTCGTGTGATTTACTTCTTTCACGTCTTTCTATTTTCATTGCTGCCCATTGATTTGTAAAGGGGCTGTAATGTCCTCAGTTCCTATCCCTTCAGAGACTCCTCTGCAGTCTCTGACCATCTCTTATAGCACGTAAGCAGTATTTGACCAGTCTCTGTAGCATGACATACACTAGGGGGTTATTTATGAAAACTGGAGCAGACAGAAACTGCAGAAGTTCCCTGTAGTAACCAATCACCTTCTCTCTACCGTTTGTTCACATAAAGTGACACTAAACTCAGGAGTTAAACCTTGTCCCTCAACTAACAACAATGTATCTTATTTGTGTATCACTCGGCTGTAGATCCTCAAATCATCTCTGAATTGGTGCTGACACTGCCCTTCCTTCTGGAGGGTGGCTACTTTTGTTCCCCATGGTGCCTGTGTGTGTTGTAAAGTAGTCACCGCTCCAAGCTCACTCCTGTGATGGACTACAATCTCACGTTTAGTTGATGAGAGCGAGCTTGGAGTGCTGGCCACTACAGCGAGTAATACACAAATAAGATACATTTTAATGAATAGTTAAGGGACTTGAATGCATTTCTGATATTTATCTCCTGAGCTTAGTATCTTTTTAAGCTTTAAGAAAATAAAAGCTAGAAGCCGATTGGTTACCATGCACAGCTGATCCAGATTTGATACATCCCCCCCAGTGCATATTATATGATTTTTTTAAATTTGTGGCCAGGGGCCTCCTTTATCTAATATAAGTGGCTACTACTACTTCAACTGTTCTCCACTCTTAAACCAAATAGAGGTGTTGGCTGGAAATATTCTCTAGGCCCAGGCCTTATTTTCCTACATTTAAAGTGCACATGAAATGCAAGTCTGCCGCTTTCTATTCATATTATTATTATACAGGATTTATATAGGGAAGACATTACAATCACAATACAAATCAAGACAAGATGGTAAGGAGGGGTAGTGTAGATGACCGTTCTGAGGTTGCGCTTGACCCGCTCTGCTGTTTTTGGGTAGGCAGCAAGTCCTTTTGAGCAGGACAGATGCAGTGCTGCATTCCAATGGAATAAGTGGCGATGATCAAGAACCATCTGCATGGGCCCTAAGGTAATAGGGCCCCTCATTAGTCACCCTCCATAGCCCTGACGCCCAGAGGTCCTGGAAGTGCTCAGGTCTGAGTGTATTGTGGGTAGAGGTGATATACAGTACAGTGCCTGGGCAGAGCATTGCTCCCTATAGTCCCCATTGCACACCCAGCACTGGAAGACAATGATCTCAGGGAACAAAAGAAAGTGGAAGCGTCTGTCCTCACTAAGCCTCCACAACAACATCTCGCCTCGACGTCACTGAGTGGGCGTTGTCGAGGGCCGGTCTGACCAGCAACCAATCAACAGCGGCTTCCCGCCTTAGTTCTCTCATTTGGCAGAGATGGCGCTGTTGATAGGTCGGAGCACACGTGACGCCAGCGAGGCTCGACCCCCCCCCCCCTTTCCTCCAGACCCGGGCTCGTCGGCGACAATAACGCAGAGGGAAATCGGCTCGGCGGACGGGAATGACCCGCTGGTGCTGCGAACCGGAAGGATGATGATGGCTAAGGCGCTCCCGATGCGCTTGTCGCACGTCGTTGTCGCCGCCATGGTGAAGCAAGAGCCGGACGATGACTCGGACACGGATGAGCCGAACTTGCTGCTAAAGAAGTCAGACAGCGCCGAGCCGCAGATCATCCACAGCGGCCACTTCATGGTGTCCTCTCCGCACAGCGAGCACCCGCCCAAGAAAGGCTACGACTTCGATACGGTCAACGAGATGGCCTGCCAGACGTACAGCGGCAAGACCAGCACATGTCACTTGTCAATAGATGCGTCCCTCACCAAACTGCTGGAGTGCATGACACTGGCGTACAGGTACTGGACACACATGGCCATCATTGTCCCCGGGTCACCCCCGATTGGCGGGGCTCTGTGCGGCATGCTGTACACAACACACACAGCTGAGCCCAGACAAAGGGCCGATTATTATCACAGGCTGAGCAACTCTGTGGAGTATAATAATGTACACACATCTCCTTTATACTCAGCATTATTATATCCAGCCCCCCAGGCAGTATTGCGGTATTCACTTTAACTGTGATCTGTGTCATTTTATTGTGTATAGTCATATCACAAGTTGGGGGTCACGTGACTGTCATTAGGTACCCTGACACCCCAATGTGTGGAGGAACACATAGCAATCAGTCAGCTGATGATTGTACTTAAACCAGTACTGCGCCCAGAGTGACGCATGATATTGTCTGCTCATCTGAGCTTTCTTATCATTGGGGTTTCTTCTTTTGTACACCTGGTAGGCTGAGGATCCAGGACCGCAGGTACCACACTGACACAGTCTGATCTCCAGTCACTAAAGTTCCGTTTGTGTATTTCCAGAGGTGCAACAACGCTTAACAAACACATTTTCATTTCATGGTATGGGGCGGGTATTTGAGTGATTGTGCTGTCGCTTGGCCCGTCAGATGTAAGGAGCGTCTTTAGGTCACGATCTCATGTTTTTGGCACCATAGGCTTTAAGGGAGAGCTCCAGGATCTTTAAAAATTAACTCTGCAGAGCCAGGGTAGCCCCAAAGCAAGGGTAAATGTTTTTAAATCCTTGAGTTCTGCCTTAACCCTTGCAGCGGGGCTACCCCTGCTTTACAAGGGTTAACTGCTAATTTTTCTCTATGGGTGAAAAAGGGAGAAAATATTAACCCGATCCGCAGTCCTGGCTGGCTGCTAGACTAGTCGCTGCAGCCTCTTCTCCCCTAGGCTCTGACAGTCCAAGGACCCGTGATGTCATCATGTCTAATACAGGTCTGTTAGACGTGAAGACTCCAAGGAAAATACCACAGCCGGGGGGGCGAGCGGTCTCTGCTGCGGGGCCAACGCTCGGTTCAAGTGTGAACTGAGCCTAAGATCAAGAGTCCAACATTGTAATATAAAAGCATGTTAGACCTGTATCCAGGTGTGCTATATCATAATACTCTCATGTTGCTGATATTTCATCTAGTATTCATATAACGTTTAGATCATTTGGAGCGTGGGCACATCATTTTTACCTAATACAGTAATAGCTCGGTTCACGAACAATTCGGTTTACCAACAGGAAGTTTGGCAAAATGTTGCTTCCGTTCGCGAACTCCAATTTGGGTGACTAGCACAACTGCGGCCATCTACCCGGCTCTGACACGTGGTCGTGGCTTCCTCTAGTGGAGATTGTGGTCGCAGACAGACCTGTGCACTCTTGCCCACCTTATGGGGAAATTTGATTCGGTTCGCGACCATAATCGTGGAACTGATTAAGTTTGTGAACCGAAGTACCACTATACAGGTATTCCTCACTTAACGACGAGTTCCGTTCCTACGACCAGGTCGTTAAACAAGGAACTCTATAAAGTACTGTACTGCATTAGTACAGTACTGTATAGCGTTGCAAATGTACAGTACTGAACAGTGTACTGTACATCGGGCAATGAAAATACTTACCGGGACCCGCAGTGAAGATCGGAGGACATCACTTCCGCCGGCGACGCGTCTCACTGACGTGCAAGGTCGGAGGTTGATCGGTGGTCCGTCGTAAGTGCGAGTGGTCGCAAAGCAGGTAAGTTGGTAACCGAGGAATGTCTGTATACTGTTCTTTTACACCAGGACTGGACAAATTCCGGGAGCCAGGTCGCCAATGCTCCTTAGAAATGACAGCTGGCGTCTAACCTTTTGAGGTTTTTTCTAGTTGTTGTCAATGGAGGTGGCTCCAGGATTGGGCAGACTGACCCCTGAACTCCATATTCATTTGTCCACCCCTGGCAATTCCATTGGGGACAGACAGGCAACCTCCTGTGATCCCGCTGCTGGCGATTTTTGTCTGTACATGCAGAATCGCCCGTCTAACATCAGCCTAAGTACTGTTGTGTATAGTTGTTTTCTCTTCTTGCGCATTTGCATTCACAATGCTATCCAAGACTTCCTATGGCCTCGTTCACACACAAGTCATAAAGCTGCATGAAAGTGCTTTATTCTGCAGTGGACAGTGTCCTAAGGAGCATCTAACTAAAGGGATTTCCTCTACATTCCCTTGCATTGCGGTGTGCAGGTACTAGTAGTTGGAGGTAATGGTAGTTATGTCTTTTCCGTGTCTGAGGAGGTGTCTTGGATCTATTGGCTAAATAACATCTAGGCAGCAATAGTGACATGACAGATTATTGAAGTAAAACAAAGGTAAATGATGTTCAAAGTAGAGATGGTCTGTAAAGCTTCCTCGGGGAGTTTAAGCTCTGTAGAAATCATTGACTTTATCTGATGTTCAGGTCAATGTACAAGCCAACACGATGATTTAAGCTAATTTGGAGATGGCTGCCTTGTCTGTAGAAAGAGTCTCTCTCTTGGTCTATATCCAGAATCTGACGAGCTAATCAGATTTATGAATAATCATAGTCTGGGCAGTGTGGGAACCCATACCATGCATCTTCAGTTGTCCGTGTTAGCTTGGGACACATACACTATATTGCCAAAAGTATTGGGACACCCCTCTAAATCATTGGATTCAGGTGTTCATGAAATTTCCTTGCTACTTAATATTCCACAGTCACCTGTTAGTGGTATTATAACAAAGGGGAAGCAACTGGGAACAACAGCAACTCAGCCACAAAGTGGTAGGCCATGTAAAATTAGAGTGGGGTCAGCGCACATTGTGCAGAAGTCGCCAACTGTCTGCAGAGTCAATAGCTACAGACCTCCAAACTTTGAGTGGCCTTCAGATTGGCACAACAACAGTGCGTAGAGCGCTTCATGGAATGGGTTTCCATGGCTGAGCAGCTGCATCCAAGCCTTACATCACCAAGTGCAATGCAAAGCGTCTGATACAGTGGTATACAGCACGCTGCCACTGTACTCTAGAGAAGTGGAGACGTGTCCTCTGGAGTGACGAATCACGCTTCTCTGTCTTGCAATCCGATGGACGTGTCTGGGTTTGGCGGTTGTCAGGAGAACCGTACTTGCCTGACTGCATTGTGCCAAGTGTAAAGTTTGGTGGAGGGGGGATTATGGTGTGGGGTTGTTTTTCAGGGGTTGGGCTTGGCCCAAGTTCCAGTGAAGGGAATTCTTAAGGCATCAGCATACCAAGACATTTTGGACAATTTCATGCTCCCAACTTTGTGGGAACAGTTTGGGGATGGTCCCTTCCTGTTCAAACATGACTGCGCACCAGTGCACAAAACAAGGTCCATAAAGACATGGATGAGCAAGTTTGGGGTGGAGGAACATGACTGGCCTGCACAGAGTCCCGACCTCAACCCGATACACCTTTTTGTTATGAATTAGAGCGGAGACTGCGAGCCCGGCCCGGCCTTCTCGTCCAACATCAGTACCTGACTTCACAAATGCGCTTCTGGAAGAATGATCAAACATTCCCATAGACGCACTCCTAAACCTTGTGGATGCCTTCCTAGAAGAGTTGAAGCTGTTATAGCTGCAAAGGGTGGGCCAACTCAATATTGAACCCTACTGACTAAGACTGGGATGCCATTAAAGTTCATGTGCGTGTAAAGGCGTCCCAATACTTTTGGCAATATAGTGTATGTCTAGTTAAATCTTTCAGATATGTCATGGATGGTAAGGTCTCATGCAAATCCAGCTACTCAATCCAATTACCAAAAGTCTAGTTTGTTGCCATTTTTCTTTTGAGTTTGATGTTCCATGTACACTATTTTCAAATTAGGAGACATAAAGCAGAAGGGGGACAATCGTCACTGTATTGTCTGCATTAGGAAAGATCTATTATGCAGCTGATGGAATTCTCTAGTAATATTCTTCCTAGTTCGGCCAACTTTCGAAGTTGATATCTGCAAGTAAGCTGCGATGGGTTGTCATTCTGCTATGATCATTTATATAATCACCACCACAGTCACCTGTTAGTGGTATTATAACAAAGGGGAAGCAACTGGGAACAACAGCAACTCAGCCACAAAGTGGTAGGCCATGTAAAATTAGAGTGGGGTCAGCGCACATTGTGCAGAAGTCGCCAACTGTCTGCAGAGTCAATAGCTACAGACCTCCAAACTTTGAGTGGCCTTCAGATTGGCACAACAACAGTGCGTAGAGCGCTTCATGGAATGGGTTTCCATGGCTGAGCAGCTGCATCCAAGCCTTACATCACCAAGTGCAATGCAAAGCGTCTGATACAGTGGTATACAGCACGCTGCCACTGTACTCTAGAGAAGTGGAGACGTGTCCTCTGGAGTGACGAATCACGCTTCTCTGTCTTGCAATCCGATGGACGTGTCTGGGTTTGGCGGTTGTCAGGAGAACCGTACTTGCCTGACTGCATTGTGCCAAGTGTAAAGTTTGGTGGAGGGGGGATTATGGTGTGGGGTTGTTTTTCAGGGGTTGGGCTTGGCCCAAGTTCCAGTGAAGGGAATTCTTAAGGCATCAGCATACCAAGACATTTTGGACAATTTCATGCTCCCAACTTTGTGGGAACAGTTTGGGGATGGTCCCTTCCTGTTCAAACATGACTGCGCACCAGTGCACAAAACAAGGTCCATAAAGACATGGATGAGCAAGTTTGGGGTGGAGGAACATGACTGGCCTGCACAGAGTCCCGACCTCAACCCGATACACCTTTTTGTTATGAATTAGAGCGGAGACTGCGAGCCCGGCCCGGCCTTCTCGTCCAACATCAGTACCTGACTTCACAAATGCGCTTCTGGAAGAATGATCAAACATTCCCATAGACGCACTCCTAAACCTTGTGGATGCCTTCCTAGAAGAGTTGAAGCTGTTATAGCTGCAAAGGGTGGGCCAACTCAATATTGAACCCTACTGACTAAGACTGGGATGCCATTAAAGTTCATGTGCGTGTAAAGGCGTCCCAATACTTT